CAGTGCCTGCACCACGTGGTTGGCAACCTGGGGACAGAAAGCCCCAAGGCAGAGCTGTCAGCTAACTCAGCCTCTGTCTGGAGCAGACAAGTCATATTCCCCACCCCCTAGCCCTCCCAGCATCGGTTCCACTGCAGAACCCACAGACCTCGTCCAGACAGCGCTCATAGGTCTCCCGCTGGTTTTCATTGGCCTGGGCAAGTGCTGAGTTCTCTGCCTGCAGAAGGGAGGAAGAGGGCAGAAAGGAGGCTGTGGGATCATTCTTCCCTCAGGGAAAATTCCTTTTGAAGAAGGGGAAGCAAAGAGTCTACTAACTGCATCCCTGTCTAGCTCTTGACTCTTGTAGGATTCTGTCATGAGGAGGCCTGCAGACACAGACCAAGGGCATCAAGAAGGCAGAGTTCAGGTTCTGGTTTTCTGTAAAACCCAACCTCAGTCAGTGAGACTGGAGGGGCTAGGGAGACACAGTGCCAAGATAGGGGTGCCAAGAGTAATCTTATTTTTCTGGGGCGAGGGAGGAAGGTAGGGTCTTCAGAATGTAACGAAGGGCTTTAGTTTAAGGATACACATCCTTGGCCTTCAACTCCTGGATGTCGGGTCAACCAAACCCTCTTCCTATGGCCTCTGTTGACTACTCCTTTCCTAGAGCCAGCAGAAGCATGAAAGTGGGGGAGAAGGGTAAAGGGAGACATTTGGGGGTTAGGACAGCCCTGCCCCTCTGCATGCTTCTTGTCCCTGAACTGGTACCTAGCCTGGAGAGCTAAGAGCAAAGAGGGTCTCTCAGAGGAGCTCTGCTAAGAAATGGTCATCCCTGCTCCAGCCTGGCCAAGGGGGCAGAGGGGTAGGTCTGACCACAACTAGAGGAAAGGACAGCCCTGGTGCCCTCATCCTGCCCTGTGCCCCACCTCCAGCTCCCGCAATCGGTGCAGGAGCTCCTGGCAGGTGCCTGGCTCCATGCTGCCATCACCACCCTCTCCGGGCCTCAGGTTTCCAGGACTCCCAGCCGGCTGGTCCATGGCTTCTGACATCAGGTCCTGGGAACAAGTGAGAGAAGGCCCAGCAGGCTACTCCAGGGCCCAGGGAGGAGTGAGTAGGGGAGGAGGACAAAGACAAAACTTGTCAGTATTCTCGAAGTTTAGCTCAGTGTGACTGATGTGCCATGAATACTGTAACAACTCAGGGTCAGCTTAAGACTCTCCTGGTCACAGGACAGACACACTTTGCCCATCTTAAGAACAAAGACCATTATTTTATAAACCCTATCACAGGTCCCATAGACACTGTCCAGGAGCTGGGAAACCCGAGTTCTCCGTTGAGACTGTCCTCCAACTGGCACATGCATCCTCCTGGGGACATTGGGAGGTGGCTGGCATGCCTCCAAGGCTCCCTGCTTCCTTAAGGCCCAGAGGACCAGCCTCTTGGTGCATGCTGGTCCTCTGCATGGGTCTCAATACCCTCCCCCACTTTCCACTTGGCCAGCTCCTTCCAATTCATTCTTCAGGGCTCCCAATCCAAGGCCAGTCAGGCTCTGTAACTGTCGCCCCGAGACTGTCACTTCTATGAGGACAGGAACACTATTCACTTTACTGCCTAGGCTCACACTTCCTGGCATGACATCTAGTATGTAAGACAGACTGATGAGTAAACAGACCAGTCTGTGACTGCCTGAACACAACTCAGCCAGAGTTCTGACCTATACTGCATATGTGATCCCTTCGCCGTCCCCCCACATTGTTGCCATGGTTACTGGCTATACCCAACCAGGCTCCATCTTCCATTTGAGTTTCAATTTCTCTGCTAGAGGAAAGTGCTCATTTCCTTCTTCTGGAAAATATTGTGGAAATTTCCAGTAGACGGGAAACCCTCCCTAATGTAGAAGGGTGGAGGCCCCTGGTCAACCACCAATTACTTGCCTCCCTGCCCCATCAACACCCCCACAAAAGGAGCTTAGCACTTTTGGACCAAGGAAGTAAAGAGCCCTCAGCAGCTTATCAATCAGGTATCTAAATGTTCTCTCTTCCATCCTCCACAGCCCACAAAAGGAGCTTAGCACTTTTGGACCAAGGAAGTAAAGAGCCCTCAGCATCTTATCAATCAGGTATCTAAATGTTCTTTCTTTCATCCTCCAGAGATACAGGGGGTGCCTCTTCCACTCCAGCCCTCCTCCTCCAGTCTCCACCACCAGCATGCACAGGCCCCAGAGCCCCTCACCTGTCTCTGCCCTCTCAGCCAGGCTGTCACACTCACTCTAGCAGCCAGAATGGTCACCTTGCCTGTGGAAAAAGAGGGAGACCATGTCAGCCGTGCATTTCACAAGCATTTATTGGACTTCTGTGTGCCAGGTGCTATGTGCCAGGTTTAGTGTCACAGAGATGAACAAGCCAGCAAAAGCCTTGCCTTTATGAAGCTTCCATTCTATTGGGGGAGGCACATAATAAACAGATAAACGAAAGAACATATGCTGGGTCCTGATAAGGCACTGAGAGGTGACAGTTAAGCAGAGACCTGAATGAAGTCTAGATGAAATCTTGGCATGGAAAAAGCATTCTGGGCAGAAGAGCCAGTGCAAAGGTCCCAGCTCTCAGCCAGGAGTCACTCAGATAGCAGACAGAAATGAATAGCAACATGTGGGGCTTTATGGCCTTTCCACAACATACGTTTTCTTTAATCCTCATCACCACAAAGGGAGGTAAATACTATTATCAACACTTATATTTGAGATGAGGAAACCAAGGAACAGGAAGTTGTACTCACAAACACTGAGTGTATCCTATGTGTTGGCACTTTCTCCTGTACCACTGCATCTGATTCTCCTACCAACCTTATTGTGGTGGTGGACTTGGGTGGTGGGGGCACCAGCCTGGATAAGGACAAAGGCTCTGGAGGCAAAGGACACCCCCCAAACCATATGGCTGGTTCACAAAGCTCACTGGACAGGCCTGGATTTTGCCCCACCCCCATGCAGCCTCTCTGTACACACGCAAGTTGTACCGTAAGCTCTTTATATTCTGTAAGCTCTGTACAGTCCCAGGGTTCCTGGAACACTGCAATTAAGACATATCTGGGTTAGAATCCCAACTCCATAAGATCTGTTTCCTCACCTATAAAATGAGAATAAGACAACACAGCCTAAAGAGTTGTTGATGAAATGAGATAATGTATGTAGAGATCTTGCATTAACTCAGTAAATGGAGGCTTTGCATATTAGCACAGTGCAAAGTCCTGCCGTGGAGTCTGCTGCTACATCTCCCCCTTCTGGTCTGTTCACAGGTAGACAGACCTCAAGTCTCCAGTCCCTCACCCTAGGGTCCCTGCTGTAGTGGCACACGAAGACCTGAGAGTGCTGCCCAATCCACGCTGCCCTCAGGGGGCTCATCCTCTCCAACCCCTTTCCTGCCAGCTCTCCAGCCCCAGGGCCAGCCCAGCCTTCACTCTTCCCTGCCTGATACCCTAGAAAGAGAAGCAGGTAACCGAAAAAGGGGAGAACACTTCTTCCTGAGTGTGTGTATATGTGTATAACAGGGGGAGGGGGGGGCTTCTAAAAACTAGAAAAAGAAAATCTGTGTAATACTTACTTTTAACACTCCACTACAATCTAAAGTCCTTTGTGATTTTAACGTCATACAAATATATCAAGTATAACTTCGTTTGCTCACAACGTTATGTTTAATATATTTAGAAATGGACGGAAAAAAGTAGAAATGGACGGAAAAAAGTAGAAATGGACAAGCCTGGAAAAAAATGAAAAATATTCAGGAAATATCCTCCTTCTCACATACACAAATAGGAGTTTAAACCATAAAAGGCCTCGGGTTACCTCCGCCATTGGGCCTGTGCCACCCCACCCCACAATACTCATCTCTGGGTCCTCATCCACTTGCTCCAGTCGGAGGCTCCCCTGCTCTAGGAGAGACCTTCCTCCATGCATCACTAGCCCTCTCCCAATTCCCTTGCCATTTATTTCCCCAGTGGAAACTCCCAGAGAATAGCGGGGTTGGGGCAAGGAAGGGAGTGCTGGGGAGTGTGAGGAAAAAGTTGGGAGGGTGAAAGAAGGGAGTGGGATGAATAGGGCAGTGTCCAGGGGCCCGAAAAGAATAAAGATAAACCTGGGAAGAGCCCAAGTCTTTGTGTCCTTCACACAACAACAAAAGCCAAACTAAGGGTGAAGGTGGTTTAGGAGATATCTTTTCCTAAAACAATAAAAACAAAAAGACATCCAGGTTAGGCGTGAGGCCCAGAATGTGAGGACTGGCTGTGGGTATGTATGTGTGGTTTTATGTATTAAGGAGGGTGGGGACCCAACACACCCCACAGAACCAACCATGCCACTCTTCAATCTGAGCCCCTGTGAATCTCAGTGCAGGGACGCCTGAGCCGCACTGTGACCTGGAGGAGACCCTCCAAGTGATAAGCCACAGGCACCCAAGAGCAATAGCTCTGCCATGCCCCAGCTGGGCCGAGGAGAGGCTCCGGAAATATTGGCTGCAGGCAGGCTGTGACTCAGCCTCACTTTGGGAAGATGTTTGCTGCTCTCGGCAGAGATGGTCTGGCCAACTCAGGATGAGGGGCCTTCTCTGTGTCTGCAGGGCCACGAGCAGAGGGCAGGAAGAGTCACAGGGAAGAGGTCTGCATTTGAACTTGACAGAGGGGAGGAGTGCACACTGTGAGTTGGACTAGTTCAAGATTTTCAATTTGAGTTCAAGATTTCTATGGTGAAAAGAAAACTTCCTGCATCTTTATACTCCTCTGGGGAATATTAAGATCCAGAAAGATACTACCACCTCCAGCTCACAATGTGAGCCTAATTAGGCCCTTCGGAGTCTGGGTTTGGGGCCTAAATCTCATGAGAAAAAAACCCAACACAGGTCAGTTCCTACTGGCTGTCCCTGCTGGGTGTCACTTGGGGTTCCTTGTCCAAAGGGC